CCTCTAATCGCTCCCATGTAGCCCCATCTCCCTCTCACTCTCTCTCTCTCTCTCTCTCTCTTATTATCACACACACACACACACACACACACACACACACACACACACACACACACCATACACTCCTAAATATATAAACACAATCTGTTTAGCCCATATAATATTACTTGTATGTATATGGTTTCAGGACTGGCCATCTAGTATTGGATAATCAACTGGTAGACTCTTCAGGGTGCAAGACTCTCTAGGAAGTTCCAGGAAGTATTTACAACTCATATCAAGTTTTATGCCCTGACTGCTTTGTAGCTGCCAATCCCTGGCAGTCCGACAGCCCACTTATAAAATAAACACACAGACGCTTATATTATTTAAACTGTTTGGCCTAATGGCTCAGGCTTCTAGTTATCTAGTTCTTACATCTTAAATTAATCCATTTCTATAAGTATATCTTGCCATGTGGCTCGTGGCTTACCGGCATCTTCACATGCTGCTTGTCATGGCGGTGGCTGGCAGTGTCTCCCTCCACCTTCCTGTTCTCTCAATTCTCCTCTCTCCTTGTCCCGCCTATACTTCCTGCCTGGCTACTGGCCAATCAGTGTTTTATTTATTGACCAATCAGAGCAACACATTTGACATATAGACCATCCCACAGCATTGCTTTTTACTGGTTCTTCAGGTCTTCCACTTTCTCTAATATGCAGAGATTGCTTCACTTGGTCCATTTGGTCTCTTTCTTGCAGTTGGATTCAACCAAAAGACCGTTCTGAATAGGAGACCAATGGGGGTAGAGTTTGGAGGAGAGTGAAGTCAAAAAACTAGGATTTCTCTGGCTTGACCTGTGCTAGCTCATCATGGATCTGTTGTGATCCACAGCACAGATCCTATCTGATTGCCCCTTTATCATCTTCTGTGTTCTGGTGACTCTTGCTTTCTCTTGCCCCTTCAGACATAAGGATAATAGTTACCATCTCCAGGGACCCTTATTGATTTTCTTAAATCCTGACACCATCTCAGTAAATTCTTTTCTAACTAAATACTTCTTAAATTATCCAGTCTGGGGAAGTGACATGTTTTCTGTTGAGACTCTGACTAATATGTGTGACCACAACAAATTTAAAAGTGGACCTGAAAAATTTTAGATATCAAGTATGTGAATAGAAGTAGTCATTTTCAAAACCAAGTTTTAATGGACAAAGTCTGTAACAGGTAACTTCATGTTGTCCAACCAGAGTAACTTCAGGGAATGGAAGAAACATGACATAACAATTCCAATAGATTGAGATTGGGATAGTTACCTCTACAAAAATGGCCAAATGAGATTTAAAGTGAATTTGTAGCAATGTAAATTTCACCATTCTTGATTTATGGAGTTATTAAGGCATTTCTTTCCCATTTCACAATGTCCAGGCATTGAAGAGTTAAGAGGAACATAGAGTACTGAGCTGTTAAGGTCAGGCATTGTTCCTTTTGCATACTTGATCAATTGGCTTCATGGCAAATAGCTGTTTGTTGCTGGATACTATAGGTATTTAAAAAGATTTCTTTTTTGTGTATATATATATGTGTGTGTGTGTGTGGGCATGTTGTGCATGAGTGCTTTCCACCATGTGTATGTAGAAGTCAGATGACAACTTGGAGGAGTTAGTTCTCTCATTCTACCATGTGGGCTCCAAGGATACAACTTTGGTCATCAGGCTTGGTGACAAGCTTACCCACCGAGCCATCTCACAGGCTCTGATGGAGTTCTTTTTAGTGAAGCTTGTTTCTTACTCTCTCTGACTTCACTATTTTCTCCACAGTTTTTCACCATTTTTCTCCTCACTTTGTGGAATCTGGGACAGAAAGAGAAAACTAGGTTATAAATGCTCCCAAATCTTCTATGTCTTACACCTGAACCTCTGGTTTATGAAACACTCAGTTGTCAAGATTTTGACACCTTTATTCTCCAGTTATCTTTTGACAACTTCTCCTAAAGCTATGGGTGACTCATGTCTAGCATCTCTGATGGGTGGTAGAAGAGGGTCTTAAGTAAAATCCAATGAAACACAGGATGTGAAGGTTAATGTCACCAAATACCTTATCTTGTCATTGCTGTAATATGTTGGCTATAGATTTTGGGAACCCACCCCACCGGGAACTTAGGTCACCTGTAAAGAGGTGGCCTGGAACCAAGGCTGCTCACTGGTTCCCCAGCCTCCCTCTTACCCGGAGACAATCAGATGCAATGGGGAGTCAAGTCAAGCAAGAACTCATTTATTGTTAGGCAGCAAGCCTCTTTTATAGCAAAAACCTCAGAACCTTAGGAGGAGGTGAAGGAACCGACCAATCAATTAAAAGGTCATCCTATTTACAAATTGTTTATGCACTGACATCATCTCCTGTTTTTAGTATCTTATCTTAGCATAAATAACTTTAGCTAACTTCCTTCCTCACCATTTGTCTCTAATCTCCATACAAACAACCCAAGCTACCTTCCTCTTAGCCTTCTTTGTATCTATTTTCTGCATAAACAGCTTAAGCTAACTTCCTCTCTACACCATCCTTTGTAACTACTTTCTGCATAAACAGCTTAAACTAACTTCCTCTAGCACCATTTGTATCTACTCTCAGCGAAAACAGCTTAAAGCTTAAGCTCTATTTGTCTAACTTTCTCTTGGCACTCTCTTTGCAGCCCATGTATGCCCCACAATAGATGACTTGAACATTAGGTTCATCTAACCCTCGAAGCTCTCCCTCTTTTACCATAACTTTAGACCTTGTTTTGACTATTCTGGCTGGGGAGTGCACCTCATTAACAAATTTATGATAATAACAGTATTAATGCTCCCCCTCCTTCTCCTAGGTTGTCTTTTTCCACCAAGTGCACAGCTTCTGGAGTGTTGAGGGAGCTAGATCAACCCATCAATCCTGATGATCAGTAATTTAACAGGTATGACAGCCAGCCAGGTTGCTCACACATTGCTGAACTGAAAGTTTCTTTTAGACTAAGACTGTAAGTAAAAAACAAACCAAATGAACAAACAAGGAGGCTAGAAAAAATTTGACTTCCTGTGGTCTGGAGGGCTCCCTTTATCACTGAAGATACTTTGGAAGGCCTTTGGATCCAGCAGATATGATGAGATCTAGAGATATCACATTTTTTAGGTTAATTGCACATTTTTATGTCTTCATTTCAGTGTTTTGTTTTTATATGGAATTGGTCATTCTATAGACACTGTAGTAGAGAATGCAGCTACTGATAACAGCCTCCTAGACTAAGATACTCTTCTAGGCCACAATGCTGAGCTGAATTCCAGAAAATCCATTGGAATTGCTGATATTATACAAGATAAAAAGCACAGTTTTGTATGCAGAATCCATTTCTTAGTGTTGCATTCCACTTATTGCTTTTTTGTAGCCAGCCTCAATTTTAAGATCCCTGGAGGTTTCACTTTGTTAACCATCTGTCCTGCCTAAATAATGGAATTTTAAAAATACTTTTAAAAACACAAATTGGCTGAGTATAGTAATTAGTATGAAATATATTTTTTTAAGCTTTCACTATTTTTCTTATGCAATAACCTTGGCTGGTGATGGGCTCATTTAGAGGCGGAGGTGGGTGTAGTGGCAAGGTCAATAAAGACATCAGTTTCTTGTGAATTTGGTTACATTGAAAATACATGATTAAAGCTGGGCGGTGGTGGCGCACGCCTTTAATCCCAGCACTCGGGAGGCAGAGCCAGGCGGATCTCTGTGAATTCGAGGCCAGCCTGGGCTACCAAGTGAGT